CTCGTCAGGACTCTGGTATTCTCCCAAGAGCGACGTGATGCACTGATGCATGATCCGCTCCGTTAGCATGCTCTCCTTGTACAGCTCGCCGATAAAACGGATGTTTCCCAGCATTCGTCTGCGGGCCTTCACGCGCTTGATCTCACGTTCTTCCGGGGTGATGGCGATACCATCTTCCTCAGTCTTGCCAGCTTCTTCCTCTTCTCTCTTACCACGCTCAAACTCTTCCTGGCACTTGTTCAGAAGAACCCGCTTGAAAGTAACTTTCTCCCCATCCTCAGTAAACTCGGGCAAGGCAACCGACAACTGGACACAAAAACGTGCGTACGTCTCACAAAACGTTGGCTCCATGATGGCTTTGTCGAAAATCTGAGATATCACGCCATTAAGCGTAGCTGCGGTCTCAATCCCCAGGTCCTGAACTTGAGCAAACAGCTTCTCGAAGTTTTGAGGCGTGAGCTTATTGAGGATGCCCTTCACCTGCCTTTGCTTGGCGTCTTCTTCGTCAGAAACTTTACCAATCTCATAACGCTTCTCTGCCTTGTGCATTGCAGGCAAAGGCGTAGGAGATGGAATGAGACCTTTCTGAGGATGAATCCAGCTGAGAGAATCAACACCACGTCCCGGAACAATGTGAGGCGGCATGTTGGGAAGCATTGGTGGCGGAAACCTCATCCCTGCTGAAGTGTTACCCGGTCTGAATCCATCAACTCGAATGTCCTGTGCCCGTCCCGATGGAGTTATAGGCTGCTTGATCCACCTGTCCTCGTCTGCTGGTCGTCGCGGAACTCCCCGGAGTCCCATATCTACTGGCGGGACTAAAATAACCTCTATATCCGGCCTAACTTCAAAATCTGGTGGCAAGCTCACATTGTGTTCCCTTTGCGTCAGCAGAAAGTCCCTACTGTATCTCTTCTGTGTCGAAAGCTGAGTATTGTCGTCCGGCTTGGGTGCCGGAGTCGGCAAGTCGGCAGCATCTTCCCAATCATCCAACTCTTTCGGAGGCTCCACTTCTACTGAAGGCTTCTTTTCAGCTTTGACTTCCACTTCCTGTTGCTCTGCCGGTACCACGAGCTCATCCTTCTTCTCGTCGGGAGCCTTGTAAGCGTTGTACAGGTCGGCATTTGATCCCGCAGCGTCAGCTTTAGCAAGAATCTTTTTCTTGTTTTTCTTCTTACTTCCTTGTTTCACTTCGACGACCACCTCAGTAGAATGTGAAGCGGACTCCGATACCAACTTGGGAACAGCTTCCGCAGGTGGTTCCACTTCCAACGCAACCGGGGGAGTTTCAGCATGCTTCTCAACCTCCATCGGCTTTTCGTCATTATCGCCATCCTTTTGAGAACCAGCTGCAGCTGCATCGACACTTCCAACCGACTGCTCTATCTCCTGCACTGTGCTATTTTCCGGCGTTGGAGGTGCACCAACCTCTACGCTACCTTCAGAAACTGTTGCCCCGGACTCAACGATTTGGTCGGCACTTTCCTGTGGAACATCCACTGCTACGGTTGTGGTGGCAGTAGTCTCTTCTATGAGCGTCTCTGTAACCGCAGTACTGTCGACAACAGCCTCCGTACCAGCCTCCGCCCGTGCACTATCTAAAAGCTCAGATGGTGTAACTGTAGTGTCGACATGAGAATCTGTGGGTGGCATTGCCGGAGTCGCAACTTGCGTGCCACGGGGGATAAAAGATGCTCCAGGAGGACCATAACTCCTCTGAGAATCCCCCATATTCTGAGGGAAAAACGGCGGGCCTGTCGTTGATAGTGGCGTCGAGTAGTGATTCATACCCACCGACGGCGACGGCCCGGTAAAGTTCATTGGTCTGATTGGCGGCCCCCTTGGTAAAACTGACGCAGGCAACACCTCTTCTTGCGTTTCCGGATTGACAATCTTCAACGCCCTGCTAGCCCGCTGCACAAACGGAAATGACTGACCATGATGTCCCATCATTTGCTGAGGCACGATTGAGGTTCCAACTTGAGAGCCCATCACTGGAGATGGTTGAAACTTAGCTCCGGGTGTGAAGGCCGGAGGCTGAACTAAATTGTGGTTGTGTTGGAGAACCGGCTGCTGTAAAGGCTGCTGAATCGTGTTCTGAGGTTGAGAGCTGACAACTTGCATCGGAATTGGCATGTGTGCAGGCCGAACAGGTTGTGTAGGGGGAAGCGGTGCATGATCCAAAACAACGGGTGGCAAAAGCTTGCCAGCGCGAGAAGCTTCGTACTGCGCCTAATAGCGCAAAACTTGTAAGCAAAGCACACAAGCAACAGAAAAAAGACTAAGTAAAAACGTACTTGCTCTCGCTTCTGCTCGTCAAGGTTCGGAGGAGCCGATGTTGTACGAGCTGGAATCTAGACATCCAAGAACAATGAAAACATTGTACAAGAACCAGTCAAAGCTATAGATACCTGCACGCCGCCATTAGGCCCCAACCCTCCGGGACTGAAGCTGCCAAATTGAAATGTCATTGCCGGTTGCCGGGCAATATCTTCAGTAAAACAAAAACTCTATGAATCAGAACGCCGAGGAACAAGATTAAAGACGACAAACTCACCAGCCTGGGATTTTTCCGGAGTACTCGGAGATAGGGGCTGCTTGCCATTGTTGTGTACTGGCCGCCTAGGAGCTGGCACAGACACATTACCACCTAGAACATCCCCCATTAAAGAGCAAGTTAACACTAACCAATAAAATACTCACCAGTAGGCCGATGAGTCGGCTGCAAAATTGCCTCTCCACCATTCGCATTGTTTGTATACTGCTGCCAGTTATTCTTCCTGCGAGCTAGGCATTAAACCCTTCCACTCAAAGAGAAAGAAAAGAAAAGAGCAAAGAAGGCTTGGCTTACCTCCGACCCGCGCTTCCATGAGCATTGGGACGAGGAGTGGGATGATTAGAATGAGGGGGAGCGCCCGCTGAAGGGCCAGGCCCCCCACCCTTTGCTGATCCCTGCGTCGCTCGATACACAGCAGCTCCTCCGCGGCCGCTTCCTCCTCTCTTGAGCTGCGATTCAACTGGATCCGCCTTCGCCTGATTAGTGGTCATAAATCCAGAGGCCAGGACACGCTTCCCCGCAATTCGTCCGCGAATTCGCGTCGCCTGGAAAACCCTAAGAACAAGAACCCTGCTCCGGCGCTGGGAATCGCTGCGCCAGACCCTAAAATCACCTCTAGAATCCCGAGATTTCGATCACCGGCGGGGCGCCGGCGTGGAGATCGCGCCGATCCAGTGGCTGCACGAGATCGCGCTCATGCATCACATCCTCATGGCGACTGCCGCCACAACACGGAGTCTGAGAGAGAGAAATGGAAGAAGAGAAAGCAAAAACACAGGAAGTAATGCTACCCTATCCGAGCCTCTAGGCTCGGGCACATCCGTACTCCGAGCCTAGCCATCCGCGGTTCGAATCGCCTTCCCGACGCGCTTTAACGGCAAAAAGATCGACCACTGGACCGTTGCGCGGCATTTTAGGGTTTAGAAAGAAGAGAGCTTCTTTCGTCATGGCAGTGACATTGTCGTCGGAGATGGAGAGCTACATGGAGGGATCGATCGCGCATATGGTAGGGCTTTCTTGCGCGGATCAGCAGCTGCGCGAGAAGCTCCAGCTCGCGGAGCGCTCGCAGCTCGATTTGCAGAGCCAGGTCCACTGCTTGCAAGAGAGATTGCGGGAGATCCAGCAGAAATACAACACGGCCAAGGTAAAATCCGCGAGAAAGATCGCTGCTGGAGCCGTAATCTCGCGATTTCTTCTCTTTCTTTCTTGCTTTCCAGGTGGAGGCGAGCTTGAGCGCGCAGGCGCTGAAGAGGCAGATCGCCGAGACGCAGAAGGTCGCGGAGTATTGCAAGCATCTCAGCGAGGAGTGCTCGCGGCTGGAGAACGAGTGCCTGCTCTACCACAACGATAGGCAGATTTTCATGGAGGCGGCGGATGATGCCGAGGAGAGGGCCGCGGCGGCGGAGCATCGCGCGGCGGATGAGCTCCGGGAGGAATTCGAGCAGCGGCGGAATCGGATGGAGGAGGAGCGGCTGGTTCACGACTTGGTGGCTTCGGCAGTGGACGCTGGCGCTCTTAGAGCTGTGGAGCGCGAGAGGGACGCGGCCGTGCACAAGATGAGAGCTTCCGAGAGGTGCGTCCAGGGATTGTTTGGGGAGATCCAAGACTTGAGGAAAGACGCGAAGCAGTACGAAACCAATCTCAAGAAGGCGGAAGTCGAGGTAAGAATCGTCCACTTCTTTCTCTTTTCTCTCTTTCGTGGTAGCCTTGTTCTTCGTTTTGTTCTTGTTCTTCCTCCCTTCCTTTTCACTGCTCTCTCGCTTTTCTCTTCCTTGTTTTTGTTCTTGTTCTTCCTCTCTTCTTTTTCATTGTTCTCTCGTTTTTCCTTCCTTGTTCTTGCTAGTGTTTGCTGACAAGCAATTGTTTTCTATCCGCAGGTGGAATTTCTCTACCAGGAGAACAACGAGCTCAAGCTTTTGCTGGGAGGGAAGTATCCAGGCTCGACGGGGCAAGCAATCTCACCGCTACACATCCAAGGAGTAAGGTTCACGCCTAGATCAAACTCTTTCATTCAAAGCAAGCTCTCGTTTGATTCCTCGAGTTCTACCTCTCTGTGCTTCTTGCAGATCAAGTGTCATGCTGCCAAGCCGGGCTGTACGCTGCTAGGCTTGTCTTCCAGACAACCTCTTACACCACTCCGGTCCAATCTCGCCGAGTGGAGACGACAATACAGATGAGAAAAACTTTGCGAGGAGCTCGAGCATCGCCATCGCTGGGAAGCACTGCGAGCAAAGCGAACGACGACTTGTAAATTCATCTGGCCGGAGGTTTTTGTAGCTCCGGAAGTTTGCAAGGCAAACTTTTTTTGTTGTTACTTTTTTAAAATGACGAATATACTTGAGATGCCTGTGTTGCCCTAATTCGGACGGTGTGGATTTGCGCTGGCCGAGCGATGCGTCTCCCGCCAACATCAAGATGAGGGCGAGAGGAATGGCGCCGAGCTATGGCGCCCAAGGGCAAGAAGGGAAAGAAAGGCGGGGCGCCGAAGCCAGATTCTGGATGGCAGAAGGTATGGCGATCGCGATCTAGGTCTGTGATCGGTGTGATGATTTCTTGAGATGGATTTGTAGGCGCTTGGGAATTTCAAGTGGGAGCGGCCGCTGGAAGCTTTGCCAGATCCAGCTGCTGCGCCGAATTTTGGGGAAATTCGTGCTACAATCTTGCACGTTTGCCAATTGGTAAGCGAATTTTCTTTCACTACCTCCGTTTCTTTTGCTTAACCTTGGTAGACTGTTTGCTAGATTTCCATTCTTTGGAGTAGCAAAGTGAATGAGGCATTTATCGATGAGCTCTTCAGGGCCTCTCGGCCTTCCTTGGTAAGATCACACAAAGCCAAAACATTCCATTCACATTTTCGATGGTTTTAAACTCTAGGAGAAGCTAGAGCTCCGTGGAGCGACGTCCTTGGCAAGGTTTGTCATGCCTGACAACATAGCAAACGCTCTCAAGGAGTTGGATCTGTCATGCTGCACAGCTCTCGAGTATGTTTTCCTTGAGGTACTTCTACGATTTTTCAAGTTTCTTACAGGATTTTTCTTATACTCTCTTTTGGAGCAGTCGAGTTCTCTGGAGAAGCTATCGCTCGCGAGGTGTGGGAAGCTAAGAACAGGGCACATTGTCGCGCGGGGGCTCAAGGAGCTCAACCTCCACGAGTGTAACGAGCTCGTAGACCTCATGTTTTGGAGCGACAACGTGTTAATCTTAAATCCTCCTTACAAGGAGAAAGATCGACTGGAACTCTACTGTCTAGAGCTCAAAGGATTCCACTGTCCTCCCATGAAGGTAAGTTTCTCTTCCTCCATTCCATCACATCGTTTTAATGTGTGTTCTTCCAAGCTGGGATCATACGTCCTCCAAGTTTTTTGCTTGCAAATCGTCCTCGAGTGGAACAAGTCCAAGTTCCGCTTGCCAATCGTCCTCGTTTTGCTGCGTTCCATGCCAATGGAAGAACAATCCAGTGACAAGCCAAACGCTTTTTTTCTTGTTCTTCGTTGCTCTCTTCCGCAGATTGTGAGACCAGTCGTGGAGACTCCACCTCCATTGAAGGAACTCCTCGAGCACGACAAGGTGGTCGAAAGATATGAGATTGAGCGGAACCGTGTTCTCGAGCCAGGCTTCACGGGATTAGCAGACTTTCCGAAGACACCATACCTGGGATTTAATTCTTATCGGCTAGCATAGGAATCAATCTAGAACTTATCTTTCTCTTGCGAAACTAGAGGAGGATTGACGTAACGGCATTGTTGTGAAGAGGATCTTGTAAATGATCGAGCAAGTTCTCCAAAGGGCCCTTCTTTGTCACGAGAGCTTGGACGTAAAATCCCAGCCACGCCACCATCGCTAGACGGCCATTCTTTATCTCCTTGACTTTGAGCTCCTCGAAAGTAGCCGGATCTTTGGAGAGTCCCAGCGGATCAAACAGGACTCCTCCCGGATAGTTGATGTCTCCGGGAAGATAGATTCCTAGCGGTTCTAGTGCTTCGATGCCGCAGTACCTGGCATACTCTGGACCAACCTGTTTGGATCATAGATTAGTTTATATCGATTAGAAGAACTTGACTAGAAAAAGGACGATTTACCATGAGGAGGAACTGGCAGATCGCAATGACGAGGATGCCTTGAGCCCCAACAATGTGGAGGCCTGGAATCCCGAGATAATCTAGCGTATCGCCCTCGAGCTTGGCATACCCGACTCGCCACCACACGCTCTCTGCGAATTTAACTCCAAAGAACTTTTCCAAGACCTCCGGGATCACCACTCCCAGCGCTGCTAGCATCGCCCATCGAGCATGCAAAATCTCGAAACTGGAAGAAGAATAAGAAAAGAGCTATGTGATAGTAAGTTCCATAGACTTCACGGGAAGGAACTTACTTGAAGAACTTATCGAATTTTGCCGGATCTTTTCCAAGTCCCGCTATGTCGAAGCCATAATCTCCAGGAAAGCTTCCTTGGAGATGATCGGGATAGTCGTATGGAATCGGCCCCAGCCATTTGGGACGATCTTGGCCAAACCACACACTAGAGCCAAGCGATCAGCAAATTAATCTCCATCTAAAAGGATTTCTTTACCTCACCTCGCGTCCCTAGCCCTCATTCTCGCGGCATCCACAGCCGATCGGGAGTTCTCCGCCGCGGCCTTGGTCTCTTGCATCCTCTCCTGGAGCTGCTTGCCGAGCGAGCTATTCGCGATTGCCTTGACTGCCGTGAAGGGAAATGCCGAGAACACAAGAACACCGGCGAGCTGGGAGCTCATCAAAATCACTGGAAATCATCTCGCAGCCGCATTAATCCATCTCTGCTCACCTCTTGCCAGGACGCCCTGCAGGAACAAGCATTGCGGCAGCGCCTGGGAGCTCTCCTCCTCCTTGCCCCATGGAATTTGCCCCAAGAACACGCCTCGCTGGTGGCGAGAATGGAAGAAGCCATGAGCTAATGGAGAATCATTTATGGAGAATCTTTTCGCATATGCTTCAGACTGACCGTTGATAGTTGACCAACTGACCAGCTTGACGGTGATCTATCCAATTATTTATTTTCTTCTTTTCGAGCGTGGCTATGGCGTCGGCAATGGAGGCGCGATCTCTCTATCGATCACTGCTTCGCGAAGCACGGAGATTTCCCGATTATAACATTAGGGAGTACATCGCGAGGCGCTGCCGTCAAGGATTTGAGGCTAGCAAGGCAGGAGGAGGCCGTGATTTGTTAGCGTTTGGGGAAGAACAGCTCGAGCTTGTGAGGAGGCAGAGCCAAGTCTATGGTATGTATGCCCCCAAAATCAAGAATGTGATGGAGATCAAAGTCTCCAAAGCTTGATAGAGAAGATCCCAAGATTATCACACGTCGATCTTGCAAGAACTCCGGTGTGCGCGTGTGTGTGTGTGAGAGAGAGAGAGTTTATTCTTATAAACATGCCTACCAATCGATTCTCATAGTTCTTGCTTGCTCCTAGATCTCTCCCATTTCTCGGGAAGAACAGGACGAATCGACTTACCCAGTGCTGGCCGCCGAGGCTTGTCCCTTCCAGAATCCCAGAGGTTTTGATCTTCCTTGGTCGGTGGTGAGCCAATCTCGGTGATACTCACCGGCAGGAATGGCCGATCGTCTCGATCGTCGACCGAGAAGAATCCTTCCTCTTGCTCGCCTAGATCGCCATCCCCAGCAGCAGCTTTCCTGGATGGGCCATCGCGCCAGTTCCACAAATCCAGCGCGCCTGGCTTGCGGAACCTATCGGCTAGGGCGGAGAGCTGCTCGTCGGCCATGGGCGTCCTGGCCGGGAAGCTCTGCTGCTCCCACGGCTTCTCCAGCACCGTCACCGCGGCCATCATCTCCTGCCGCTTGCGCTTCTCGTAGATCCGGCGCTCGCGCAGCAGCCACGCCTTCTCGCGCATCCGCTGCTTGTGCATCTGGAGCCGCTTCCACTGCCACTTGGTGACGCCGCCGGGGAATGTGCGCTTGCCGCCGCCCATTCGCACCACCAGCAGCTCCCATCGATTGCCACACCCGGCGCTCAAGCTCATCGCCATGGCGGGAAAACCTCAAGAACCCTAAAATATCGCCATAAACCCTAAAATGTGCTCTTCCAGATTTTTGGGGCGATGGAAGAAAGGCGCATCCACGAGCTGGAGAACGATGTTGCCGCGTTGTCTGCGAGGATCAAGGCAAGCTTTCATCCTCTCTTCAGTGAGTGAAAATCTTGGCGCAGGCACTGGAAGTAGAGAATGCAAATTTAACTGCTCGATTCGTTCTTCTTGTCTCCCATTCGATTTACTCTCTGTTCTTTCAGCATGGTGAGAACCAGTCGCTAAAATCGAAGCGGACTCACAAGAATCACAAGAAAGAAAATCAAGGTACTCTACTATCCTTTTAAAGGAATTCCGCTCTTTCTCTCTTGCTAGGAAACTCTAAGCGATGATTTGTAGCTTCGACAATCATGTACATTGGCAGCTGGTACGTTCCTATCTTTCGTTTGGAAGAAAGCTGATTTTTTTTTCTTTTTTTTCTTTTTTTTTGCTGCTTGCAGGTTATTGCTGGCCGCCGTTATTGCTTGCTTGCTCTTTTTTTCGCTGGGAAGGAAGAAGTCTGTGGGTTATGCACAACGCATTCTTATGGCATCAAGTTCGTTGCATGGCCGCCGTGCTTTTCATGATTGCCTGTGGTCGTGAAGTACCAATATTTGTCTCCAGAGTAAGCTGGAGACAAATAAGATCACTGATTTTGTGGATCATCGACAACCTTTTAGACGTGGACAAGACCACGAGAAAATCACAGTATTTGTGCCTTCCAAGGCCTACACTTCTACTGCCGACCTGGTAAGTGACTGTGACGGCTAGATTCAGGCTTAGATTTTGATTGAAATATCTGTGTAGAATCCAAAGTACAGATACATAAGCATTTGTTAAAACATCTCGACCAAACATTACTGACGGCTTCACTGATTTCCGAAGGCATGCTGGAGCTTGGTCAGCATGCTTCTCTTGTATTTCTGCATGGTTAAATCCATGATGATGCAGACCCAATTGTTTATTTTAGCAAAACAAATTATCTGAACGTAAGCAGATTTTGATTTAGCTACTTATGAACGCAACCAACGCTTAAAATACTTTGGTATACTTACTTATCTTGCTCTAGTGAATTCCATAGATTTTGTGAGAGGGCTCCCTTCCTCCTCGAGCTGGATCTTGCAAATTATAGTAGATCCCAAGTTTTGGACTATAAAGTCTATAACTTTGGCAGTAAAGAACAAGCAGCGTGGAAAGTTTTGGAACTTGCAATGAATTGTGTGGAACATCACTCTGATAGGAGGCCGAACATGAGCACTGTGGTAAATGAGCTGAAAGGCCTTGCCTCTCTCAATTTCCTTGCATGCCTGGAGCTGCTGTCACAAAAGACTTGAAAGAGTGTTTTTACCCATTTTGAAAGAGCAACTTCTTCCTCTGGAAGCAATAGATTGATGGGTTCACGGCGGCAAGCAATCTCGAACAGTACCACTCCAAAGCTGTACACATCTGATTTCCCGTGAGCCTGGCGTTAGAAAAAAAAGAAGTTAGTCATTTTGAATAATAAGAAAGTTTATGCTCACTCTGAGTGAGTGATGGTTGAGATATGTTGTTCCTGTTGTAAAGCTTGGAAAGCCCAAAGTCACTAACTTTGGCAAGAGCTTAAAAGTATATTAGTTGTCTTCACATCCCAATGGATTATATGTAAATTGCAGGAGGTGTGCAAATATTCCAATCCTGTGAAACTTGTTGTCGAGGGTCATCACACTGTTTACCTTGAACAGCATCTAAAGCAATTTGCAGCTGAGATTTCTAGCTCAAAGCTGGACATTGTGCCTATACATAACCACATCAAAGAGAAGACAAATGGAAACGGAAGAAATCACTTTGCTCTCTCAAAGTTCTATTTGCTTTGACTCCTGATCACAATAGCCAAGGAACGACACCAAGTTCCTGTGGTGTACCACCAATAAAATATCAATATGCCACTGGTTTGAGATCAGTTTGCTATCCATGCTTGATGATCAAACTCACCTCCATGTTAAATTCTTGATATCCGTGCTTTGAGGCGTAGACAAAACCTTAACAGCAATTTTGACATTATTGGAAAGGCAGCCATAGTACACTGGTCCAAAACTTCCTTCGCCAAGAACTTGCTTAAAGTTGTTTGTGGCCTCGATCACGGAGTTTGGAGACTTTGGACCAGGGAGATGAGAAAGCTATAAGCACAAGCCAGCATTTTGCAACTTACCTGACTCTTGTGGTCTGATGGTTCTTTGTCCGTCTTTCTACGGGACATGAAACACACAACAAGTCCAGCTGCGAGTAGTAACATGGCTACGCATGGAACCGCGATTCCAATTAAAAGTGTTGTATTTTTCGTCTTCTTTGCGTCGAGTTTCTCGCATAACTTAACACTAGTGCTGCAGAAGGAAGGAAACAAAAGATAAATTTCAAGAGAGAATCTCGAGAAACGAACTTGAAAGAGAGCTGCAGTTCTGGTTGTACGCAATCCAAGCTGTCGTTTTGTAATGACCTGTGAAATAGTGACTGTAAGAAAAACTCTAATTTTCGAGCATACACTGTACTCACAAAACCGTGAGTTTTTTCAAGGAGCTAAAGTTTGGAACTGGCCCTGTCAATGCATTGTTATCCAGATATACGAAAAAAACTAAAGATGAGAAGAAAACTAAGAATTGCTAGAGAACCTTTCGTAAATTTTTGTTAGATGCAACAGCTTCGTGCTTGACTGGGATATATTACCACTCAGACGTTGGTTGGATAAGTTCCTGCAATGCCAATTTCTTCAGTTTCATATGATAGATATGAGTCCTCTTACAGCTCTGCGATTCCGGCCGGGATTTGAGCTATGTATCCCTCCCAAGTATAAGGAAGAGGCAAGCAAGGATCTCCGACCATCCAGCGCGTCCAAGAATTGCTACCACTTCCAGATAAGAAAACAAGAGAAGAATATCACAAATGAGACAATGTATAATGCTAAATACCATCCTCGGGTTCTGTCCCTGGCAAGAGACTGCCTTTGTACTCGAAGAGCTCGGGGGCATTGAGGATCGGACCCAGCGTAGAGTTTAGCATGGGAACGAGAAAGACGCGTGTTGGATCTAAAAGCTCCACCGGAGCTTTGACATACATTTGCACCGAAGCCTGGGTGTGCTTCTCGATGTTGATGATCACCGCGACCTGGAGAGTTTCAAGAGAGGTGGTGTTGAAAAGGAGCGTGAACTCTCTCGTGTCGTTCCCCAGAGCGAAGAACTCCGCAAAGTAAAAGTTGATGTAGTACTTCGTTGCCTCGAGCGTGGCTGGAAACTCGAAGACCATCACGGACGATCGGGAGCTCATCACCTCTGTGGGAGGCTTGTTAAAAGTTAGTGTTGATCCGCTGGTAGCTTCCTATGTTTTTGAAGCTCTTGTCAGCTCTCCATATTCGATCGTATTCATCCAAAGAATACCTGTTCGAAGATACGAAGAGAAAAAACTTTGAGAGTTTCTTACCTGATATCTTCATTTGAAGTTGCTCCAAGATGATCCTTCTCCACATGAGCAAGACCTCACTATAATCCGAGACGCTTCCACTCATCCCGGGCGTCAGCTTCCTAAGCTCAATCGTGGAGATGAATGGGATATTTGCTGGTGAGTTCGAGCGGGTTCCTTAGCTTCGAGTTTGTGGCTTTCACCACAAACTCGTAGTACCACGACGACTGGCTTCCCAGGCTCGCGTTCATCACAGTGTTCGCACCAATAGCAATGTCAAACTCGACTAGAGTTGATTCCAGCCCATCGTAGTTCCCGTAGTAGAAGCGCGGCCTCACAATGTAGCTCTTGTCCACCACAACTGGCTGAGCTGAAACGTAACTCTGTGCTGTAAATGATCGGCTTCCCACATTTTCCGCTCGAGCCGAAAGTCGGGCCTATTCCCCCAAAGAGTTGTGCTCATGGTCTCGAGCGAAGAAAACGAGAATATTCCAGCCTGTGCAAAGACCAAGCAAAAGAAAACGCATATAAGGATTAGCAGGATGTTTCATGATCTAAATCAGACAGGCAAGAGATGAAACTTTGGATATGTCAATGGCAATCCATTTGCATCACCTTTGTTCTCGCAGATGCCATAAGAAACGGCATTGTTTGTGACGTGGAAGGGTATTTTACTATCCATAAAATCAGTCACCATTTTGCACCAGTCTACTACCTGTTCATGAATAAACCCACCATTCTTTCTTGGGTTTTCTTAGCTGGGAGAGAATGTGTGTGTGTCTCAATCCATTCCATCTGAAAAGTTCTTTCGCCCATCTCGGTGCCTTCAACCACATTTCTACTTATGAACCTAGCAGCCTCAAGGAT